GAGAACGTGTGATTAACCGTAACCATTTTGATCGTTCAATATATTACCAAGCGTGAGTATGAAGTTTGATTCTGTTCACTTTAACGTTTGTGTTTCAAGAGAATGTGTGATTAACCGTGATCATCTGATCGTTCAATACATTACCAGGGTGAGTATGAAGTTTGATTCTGTTCGCTTTAATGTTTGTATTTCAAGAGAATGTGTGATTAACTGTAACCATTTAATCGTTCAATAAATTACCAGGGTGAGTATGAAGTTTGATTCTGTTCGTTTTAACATTTGTGTTTCAAGAGAATGTGTGATTAGCTGTAATCATTTAATAAGTATTTATTTTGATTCTGTGCACTTTAACATTTGTGTTTCAAGAGAATGTGAGATTAACTGTAATCATTTAATTATTCAATATATTACCAGAGTGAGTATTTATTTTGATTCTGTGCGCTTTAATGTTTGTGTTTCATGAGAATGTGTGATTAACCATAATCATTTGATTTTTCAATACATTATTAGTGTAAGTATGAAGTTTGATTCTGTTCACTTTAATTTATGTTTTGAAAGAATATATTATTTATTATAATTATTTGATCATTTAATACATTATCAGAGTAAGTATGAATTTGATTTTATTTTTTTAATATTGGGTTTAAAAAAATAAATTAATTATAATTATTTAAATTGTTAATAAATTATTAGAATAAAAAAATTTAATTTTATTACTTTAATGCTTGTGATTTAAGTAAATATATGAATAATAAAGGTAAATATTATACTTAATTCTGTTTTTTAAAAAATATATAATTAAAATATTTGATTGTTAATAAATTACTAAAGTAAGTATAAAGTTTAATTTATTTTAATTTGTATTAAAAATTAATTTGTAAATTTTGATTTTAGTTTTTATATTATTATATATTAAGATTTTTTTTATGAAGATTTAGTTTTATATAATAATATATAATAAAAATTTTTTTATAAAATACAGTCAGACCTTGTTATAGTCACTCTTGATATAGTCACAACCTTGTTATAGTCACACTTTTTCTTAACTCTAGACATTATAAACTATATAAAATTTGACCTTTATTTAGTCACACTTTTTTATAATCACTAAATGTTTGTTTCCAAACCTGGTGATTATATTGAGGTCTGACTGTATTTATTTTTATATTTAATAATTAGGAATAATGTATTTATCGCATGTTATAAAGTATATTCATGTGATTGGTTGATTGATATAAATCAATATATTAATCTGGCTATATTAACTCTTCAAAATAAAAAAAATATATATGATATTATACATATTCATATTATACATGTCTTTGTAAATTTTAAAGCAAATAAAAAATTGTCCAAGACCAATAGATATATTTGATTTTGGTAATTTATTGATTTTAACATTGAAATTTATCGATTTGACAATTCAGTAGCCTCAGAATTTATAAAAACAGCTGCATAAATTCAAAATTCTAAAAATGGTATAGTCAGAAGTTGTTTTCATATGTCAGTTTAGCTAAAATAACATTACCCATTTATTTAAAATAATATCCTAGGTGTTATTTTGAGCTTAATTAGTAAAACTAATAATTAATTTCATTAAAAATTTTTTTATAAATCTTTTGATAAATTAATTATTGGCTCTCTTTAAATAAAACACTTGAAATAATATTCAGAGCATTGTTTGAATAATGTGGTATGCTAGATATAAGCAATAAATTAGTATAATTAGTTATGTACAATAAAGCACTTCTTTAAAGTCAGAACTTATACTGAAGATTTTCTAGTTTTTGAATCAAAATTTTGTACTAATATATTATATAATCAGAGCAATAAAGTTTCTGATGTTCTTACAAAGCTAAAGTAATATACAATACATTCTCAAAAGACTTTAAAGCCTATAAATAAGTTTTTATTCATTTATAATACATGTTATAATGTGATATACAGTACTAATGATAGGACTTTCTGATTTGTCTTTTGACTTTCGGTATAAGTTTTAGCATTCAGTAGGACTTTCAGATTAGCAATTTTGGCAAGATGAATTTAATGAAACTATTTTGGCATATTAAAATACTTTCAGCACCATACTTAAATAGTTCATAAAATTACAATACAAAACATAATAAAAAGTTTAAATTTATAACTATTGTTTTTTTGTTCAAGCAAATTTTCTAGGCAAAAATCTCAATAAAAGCTTATTATTTAATATTGTTTATTGTGTTGGTCATACCAAAATTGTCGTTATTTCTGATTTATTGTAAAAAATTCTATATTTTATTTTACATAACATAATATTTATAATTAATATCTATTTACCTTATCAGAAATTTTGAATAGACTTAATATACTATAAACAGTACTGAATGATAGATCGAAATTCATTAGCAGCCTAAAATTGTTATCAAACAGTGAAATCTATATATTTTGATATTTATTAATTTTGCAAATGAAAAAAAAATTGCATTTATAAAATTCACAATAGTTTTCTTCTAAATATAGTACAATAAAACATATATATATATATATAATTCAAATAATATATCTTTCTACAACCTAAAAGACATTTAATTTCCTATAATTAATTTCCCTACATTACATAAAGGACATTCTATATAAGCTTTGCATATCGAATTAAGCCTGGTTTTCACATCATGCACTATTGTGACCAGTTTGACCACAAATACAACAAGCGTATAGTTGGTAACATGCTTTTTTTATTGCAAACTTATACTATTTAGTTTCAGGCCTGCCCTTACATTTGGTGACTAGTAATTGTTGAAGTATTTTCTATATTACTATCATCAAATTCACTATTCTCCATATTATTCTCTTTGTTATTGGCTAGAAATGCTTCTTTTAGTTAATAAATATTTTTAGCTATTGAGCTATTTCATTATCATCGCATTTTACTGCAAGCTGTACTGCTTGTCATACAAGACTCTATAATTTACCAAATTTACTTCTTTGGGCTGCTATACACTGATTACTTGTTGTTACTGTAGGAGGTATTGAGAGTGATTTGAGAATTGTTAGTATAATTTGATTTTGCTAAAGTTAAATAACAGTCTCATTTACAAAGATAACATTTAATTGTTTATTTTCTTCTCTTTTGGATTATAATACCAATGTGAAACTATTATTTTAAAATGGAACTCAGCAACCTTCAAGACTAAAAGTACTTGGAAATAATGACAGCATATAATGCTACAAAGAACATTATATATGCATATGCATAAATAAGAAATGGAGTTAATAATAATAATAAATTGTTGTTGCTTATTATTTTCTAGCCGCTTGTCTGTAATTTGCCAAATTTCTTGCATATTCTCTTGGCCAACTTTCACAATCATTGACTTAACTAAAATTTGACTTTAATTGTACATATTTTCTAAAAAATGATTGCTAATACTTTTATTCTATAGCAAGTAATAATTTAGTTTAGTAAACTATATGCTTCAAATCTAAATTTAATTTGCTCAAACATCAGATCAAAAAATATCAGAACAACTACCTAAAGTATTATTTTAAATTATATAATATCACTTTAGATAGTTACTCTCATAAGATCTAAACCTTATTATATGAATTGATTATTTTCAAATTTGTCAATGCTGCATCAAAATATAAACATTGCACTATTTCGATACATATAGCAGAAAGGATATGAGATGTCAAATATTCCGATATTATATGATCAATAGTAGAAAACATTTCACTTTCTACTGAGACAATTCTGAAGCAAGAAGACAGCATTTGATATTTGAAAAAACGGTTCCATTCGGCTTCTAAAAAAAAGAAAGAGAGAGAAGTAAAAAAAAAAAAGAGAAGAAAAAAAGAAAAATTAAAAAAATAAATAAAATGAAATAAAGAAAATAAATAAAGAAAATGAAAATGAAATAAAAAAAAGAAACAAAATCATATTAATGTTGTTTGATATTATTAAAAATAGAAACATATTAACTTCAACTAAATTTATCTTTTTCTAATCTTTCATCCAAAGCTTTAACCAAATCACATAAACTGCTGCTACTACTTAATACCTACTTTATAATATTATTGACTCCTCTACCCGAGATGTAGTTTGAATTCTGGCAGTATAGACTTTAGACATAAATGCACATGCCTATGTATAATGACTAGGATAGAGAACTCAGTTCAAATAGCTCTCAGCATTTGAAAATTTTTGCAATAATTTTCGCCACCTCAATTCAAACAAAGCTTCATCTAAAGTATTGCAACAATGATAAAATTTACCAATAAATTGACTATATGCATTACATAATGTTGCTTTAAGATTTTTTGGGAGATTCTGACTAATATGATATAGACAATGCAATGACTTTGTAGTTTTATAAACTTGTTTAAGTGCGCTATCCATTGCTGGATCAGTGTTAGTGACAATAACTAATGGTTCAACCCCCGTAACTTTTTTAGTACATTTGAGAATTCACTTATATGATTCAACGGACTCATCCAATATTAGTGCTTGGGCTGCTAACTGAGATCTGGTATGATTATCAACAATGAGAAATAAACTAAGAGGTATTTAATATCTATTCATCTTAGCAGTATTGTCATTAAGTATAACATTGTAATATTCAAGCCAAAGTGATATTTGTCCAGGGGTCATCCAGAAAAGCTGTATTAGACAGTTGTCATTATCTAATTCAAATTTTACAATCCAACCTGATTCTTTTAATTGCTTTTTAGTAAGAAATAAAAAAAAAGATGTGAAGCATCTGATTCAAGCTCTTGTGATTTAGGTTTAAAGTACCGAATAGTATTCACAATGTCTATATCTAGAAAATTGTATCCAGGTACTTGGCTTTTAGCAACTAGCATTGTACAGAAATAGAAAAGTTTTCTTTTTTGGTGTAAAATTCAATGTCATTCAAAGCATCTTTTCTGATTGACCAAAAATTGGTACTATACTTGCAGGCATCCAGATGAAGTTCATGACTGTGATAATTAACAAATATAATAACTATAATGCAATTAGCATCTTTCGAAAAATTCAGGTTTATGTGCCAGTTACATTCTTGGTGCTTTGATCATTGATTATATTGAGTATTAATATTAATATTTTTTTTTGGTCTATATTTTCTTCCAAATTCACATCTCAAATATTGATACTTTATTATTTCATTATTTCGTTTAACTCTCTTTTTAATTACAGAGAACCCATAATATCAACCATAGGCTTTAAAATATAAATTAACATCATCCCAATTTTGGAATTTGTAACCAATACACAACAAGGAAAAATTATAAGATGTCACTTCTAAAAAAAAAGAAAAAGTTATTATTACTTGATATATAGAATTATTAAAACAAGTTGGCATGATAATTTACCATCATTAATGATTTCATGAGAGCTATTAATCTCATTATTGATTTCGTTACTGTTATTATCTCCATTATCGATCACGTTTTCATAATCATTATCAATAATCATTCTGTTACTGGTCTTGTTAGTATACTCTTTATCAATTTTAATATTAATCAGATAATCCATGTTATTTAATTTGGGTTTAGTTTTTAATGTTTTTTTTATAAAACAATACTTTGAAGTTGTGTGAAAAATAAAGAAAATATACACTCACAATACTAAAGTATCAAGAAGAAAAAAAATTTATTGCTAGGCTAAGCAACTTATATATATTCACAAATGTCATCATAACCTCATTGTTTAACTTCTTTATTTTGTATATACTATGTGAATTGACTAGCTGAGTTTAAAAAATCTTACAGGTACTGTTCAGGATCTGCTGTGTTCACTAAAAAGTCTACTAAGGGCAATCTTCGATTCATAATGCTTTTTTTTTTGAACTTCTGAGGTTAAAACTTATTGTTTTTTTTTTAATTTTTTTTTTTAACTTTTTCACCCAACTTCTTTTTTTTTTATAAGGGATTCGATTATGATTATGATTTTAATCCATTGCATGAACCCATGTGTGTGCATTAAGTTGAAAATAAGTGTAAAATAAATTAAAAGTTTTAAATTAAAATTTTATCTAATTAAATTGATCATAAAATAATACATTAAGAAGTTTCAGAATTAAAAAAAATAGCATATTTCAAAAATTAGTGGGAGTTTAAAAATCTTATTTTTGTATCAAAGTTTTTGTTAAAAACTCCCATTTAATGAAATAAATGAACTTTTCAATAAAAAAAATCAACACTTAAATTTATCGGAAATGAAATAAGGCTGATACAATGCTTATTTGAAAATAAATACATTATTCATTTCTGTCAAAATTAGATTTCCGCATATTAATTCCGAAAACTCTTATTATGAATGATATTAAGTGAATTTGAGAAAATTTAAAACTAGGTTTATATTTCTCAAATTTCTTTAAGATCTTAAAGTGGATACTTTGACCAAAATACAAGCAATTCCTTTTTTATTTTTGCATAATAGAAAATACAGTTAAGTAATACAAGACAGGAAAAAAATAAATCACAATGATTGTTAAACTCAACGGTTAGAAGATCATGTGATAATGCTTTCAACTGGTGGTAACGCTGGATTTGCTGTGTTCGACAGGTATTTATTTCTTTGTACACTGGCGATCATAAGTAGTGCAACAAAAAAAAAATTTTAGTTAGATCATATTATCTCACGCAATTCCGGGCGTATCTGTTAGTTTTTTTTTTTATTTTATTCACAAATAACAACATTTTCATTAATAAAAAAATTTAAAAAATTAAATGAACAAAATTTTTCATGGGCACGAGCTTTATTTCAAATGCCGTGTTGCATTACTTTTGCTCGTTTTTACGGCAACACGACTGTAAAACAAAAAAAAAAATTTTTACACATAAAAAAAAAATTTTTTTTCTATTTTTAATACTTTATGACCGCCACTATCTTGTGTATTTATCTTGTGTCTTGTTAATATCCCGAATTTGGTTTAGCAAGGTATAAAGCAGATCAATGCAGGTACCAACTTCGGACTTCTGTAATGCCACCCAGATCTTGTTTCAAAGATCTTTTCTGGTTGAAATTTGAACAAAAATATTGTTAAGCTAATAGCCGACCTAATTTATAAAAATTTAATAAGAAAAAAAATTAGAAAATAGAAATTCCAATCAAAAACCTTCGCTGAATCTTTATTAAATTAATGATCTATGATTATTACAATATATTTGTCAACTATTTTACTAACGAAATCATGTTTCGAATAGCAAATTCGTGATTTCTAACAGTAGCTATAAAATTTTTATAAAAAATTTTTTGCCATAACTCATTACCCATTGTGCTATCGATCTTGGAAAGGCCGTAAGTATTATAAATATAATACAAATTTATATCCACGTGGAACTATCCTAAATTTTACCTTAGATTTAATATAGAAGCAAATCAATAATTTTTTAAAATGCTTTTGAATAAGATTACTTATAATTCAGCATAAAAATTGCAATTTATAATTTGTCGAAGCAAGTTACCTTAGATAAGTTTCCAGCAATCTAATTTTTGCATTTTTTTTGTGAATCTAGGCAACGTTTTTGACCGTATTTACATGGGTAAAGTTTTCTTCACTTAATCACTAATATTAAATTGTAATTTATAAGTATAAAAAAAAAAAAAAAAAACATTAAAATATTAATTCCTTTTTTTTTTCAAGCGAGACTATATTTCAATAGTAGTTTAAATAGTGACGGAAGGTGGTTTACTTTGAGATTCCTAGTTGAGTTGGTTTGCCCCAGCAGGTAAGCAACAAACTCTTACCAACTCTTCACAAGCACGATATTCCAGTCTCTTTTATTGGTATAAGAGGCCACAAAGAAACAAATATCGTGCATCCAACCTATCACCTTTGTGTATACCACTTTTACGGCAAAGAAGAAACTTGGGCTCATTTGAACTATGGTTGTATGATTTTCTTTTTCATTAAAACTTTATCGGATGTTTTACCGTAGTACAGAGATTGCAAGAATTACAATGAATTTCCGTTCTGACATGCATTTATGTAGTACAGTAAGTGTCATCTGATCTTTGCCAAAAACGAGCAAAAGTAATGCAACACGTGATTTGTGATAAACGCACAAATATCTTTACATTGGTAATAATAACTACTACTAAAATTCTACTATTTAAAAAGGATACTATTTGTGAATAAAATAAAAAAAAAAACTATCAAATACGCCCGGAATTGCGTGAGATAATATGATCAAACTAAAATTTTTTTTTTGTTGCACTACTTATGATCGCCAGTGTAAACAATATCGTGCTTATTCTACCTTTTTTTGTTCCGATTCTTTTAAAATTACTTATAATTATTGAGTTAGTATGTCTAACATAATCTTATTATTAGTCAGGTTTTTAACAGGTTAGTCAGGGGCCTCTGACCAACTGGTTTCGGTTATGGTCATAACTGTAACCTAGTTGGAATTGAACGTAATATCTTGCTTACAAATTTTTTAATATATTTAATGATTTCTATCCTTCAAATTCCGTTTATTTTCTCTTTAGTTATCAAGTGACCTCATTTTATAATCGATGGTTTCAATTGATTTGATATTACATTTTATTAAATACTACAAGAGATCCTGAAGCCTAAATTTATAATTAACACCTATTCTAAATCAATTGATTAATATATAATATGTATAGTGTCCTATACCGTGGGATCATTTTTTTATTTTTGCACGTATTTTTACATATATGATTTATTTACACATACTTTTACCTTTTTCTTTTCTTATTCATTTTATCCGTGTTCATACTATTAATACAAATAAAGATAGATTTACTACTTTACATTTTTATTTTAATGTTGATGTTCCAAGCATTTCAAAATCGTTTAGCAGGGCCTTTTTCCGTTGTTATTTAAAATTTACAGTTTTTATTTATTATGTATATCGGATGTTAAAAAAAGGTCACTAAACAGTCACTTTTGTTTTTAGTGACATTATATAAAAATTCTATTACGAATTCTTATACATAAGGCCACTAAAAAAAGGGGGACTGTTTAGTGACTTTTCTAACAACAAAGTATATAATAAGAAATAAATTCCAAAAATGTATTCATATATATATGAGTGTCGCTAAAAGAAAACCCGAAAATTTAAATATGACTTATATTTAAAATTTCAGGGGTTTTTTTG